AGTTACGGTTTCCATTGCTGTGAAGAGACACCATGAACACAGCAACTATTACAAAGGAAAACACTTAATTAGGGCTGACTTATAAGTTCAGAGGTTTAGTCTATTATCATCACGGCAGGAAGCATGGCAGCATGCAGGCAGACATGGTGCTGGAAAAGAAACCAAGAGTTCTCATCTGGATGGCTGAATCAGCAGGCAGGAGGAAGAAAGAGTGAGTCACTGGGCCTGACTTAAACTTCTGAAACCTCAAAGCCCACCCCCAGTGACACACTTTCCCCAGTAAGGCCACGCCTACTCCACATGCCCTAACGCTTTCAAATAATGCCACTCCCTATGACTATGGGGCCATTTCATTCAAACTATCACATTCCATTCCTTGGCCCCCCCATAGGCCTGTAGCCATATCACAATGCAAAATTCATTTGTTCCAACTTTAAAAGTTTCCACAGTCTATCACAATCTCAACACAAGTCCTCAGTTCAAAGTCTCTGATTCTCATGGGACTTTCTTAACTGTAATCCCCTATAAAATCAAAAACAAAAAGCAAATTACATACTTCCAACATATAATGCCACAAGATATACATTACCATTCCAAAATGGAGTAGAGCATAGTGAGGAAATATTGGACTAAGACAAGACCAAAAAAATATCTGGGCAAACTCCAAACTCTGTATCTCCATGCCTGATGTCAAAGCACTGTTCAGATCTCCATCTCCTTTCAGCTTTGCTGACTGCAACACAATTCTTTCTCTTGAGCTGGTCAGCAGCTCTCCTCGACAATCCAGACTTCACTTTCACAGCTTTGCACTAGGGCCTCTCTGGGCCTTCATGCAAGGACACCCCTGACACATGCCTGGCCTTAGTAGCCGGGGAAAATTCCATAACCCATTTCTTGTATCCTTAACTCCAAAGCCAGAAGGACATAGCTGAAATTGCCAACTCCTGGAACATGACCCCCCTTGTTCAATTACCTCTACATCAGCTTTCTGGTTTTGATGGTTTCCTTTATTGCTTAAGCTTGGCTGTCCTAGCACTCACTCTGTAGACCAGATTAAGCTCAGAAATCTGACTGCCTCTGTCTCCCAAATGCTGAGATTCAAGGTGTGAGCCACCATGTCAGGTCATAAGCTTTTCTTTGATTCTGTCTTACAAATTGAAAGCTTTGCTGGGTGCAGTCTTGCCCTGAGGTCACCCTCCCTTTATTCCTGGTGCTCTTTTTCTCCTCAAACTGTATGTTTTGTGTTTTTCCTTGCTCAGCTTGCTCATTTGCTTTATAAATCTGCGTAAGACTGGTCACCAATAACCAAGCAATGCAGTCGATGCTAGGATGTTTTGAGATTTCCTCTGCCAAAACTGTTAATAAAAAACTTTTCTTTTTAGATTCACACAGATTTTTTTGGACAAGGGCAGAAAGCAGCCACATTCTTCACCAAAATATCGCAAGAACGATCTCTAGGCCACACACTAATATTCTTCTCCCCTGAAACCTCTTGAGCCAGGCCCCCGCAGTTCAAATCACCCTCAGCACCACTGTCTGCTCCTCCTAGGATGGCCCATTAAGCCCCACTTAAAAGTACAACTGCTTTTCTAGTCCAAAATCCAAAGTGTTCCACACTCCTCTGAACAAACGCATGGTTAGGCCTGTCACAACAATACCCCAATCCCTGGTAACAACATTTTTTTTAGTCAGGGTTTCTAATGCTGTAATGAAACACAATGACCAAAAACGAAGTTGGAGAGGAGAGGATTTATTTGGCTTAGACTTCCCATTGCTGTTCACTATGGAATGAGTTAGACCAGGAACTCACACAGGGCAGGACCCTGGAGGCAGGAGCTGATGCAGAGGCCAAGGAGGAGTGCTGCTAGCTGGTTTGCTCCCCATGCCTTGCTCAGCCTGCTTTCTTATAGAACCCAGAACACCAGTCCAGGGATGGCACCACCCACAATGGGCTGGGCTCTCCCACGTCAATCACTAATTAAGACAATGACTTAACAGCTGGATTTTATGGAGACATTTTCTCAGTCGAGGTTACCTGTTTTCAGATAACAATGGCTTGCACAACTGCATTGAGGAGAAACAAGAGAACTTGAGTTTTTCCTGGATATGACCTAAGGACTCCCATTCAGCATTCATGGCATCAGAAAACTTAGCTTCTTAAAAGGACAAACCAAAGGCTGATCAGGACAAGTATGGATTTCTGTTCACCCCTCAGAGACATACCTCATTTCTTCCAAGCTGGGATCATGTTTTGGAAAGGTGCCTGGGCTCTAACAATACCCGGAAAAATTAAGTAAAAGGTCGAGCTGGAAGCTAATGGAGGCACTCCCTGAGACAGCTCTTGTTTACCTTTCTTGTGCTATGGTAATTTCTGTAATAGATCTTTCTCAGACAATTGGTGAGGCTACAGTTTTCAGAGTTTTGAGCTGAAGATGATTCTAACTTTATCCTTTGCACTACTCTATGTTTTTTTTTCCTAAATGAAGACAATATCAGCATAGACAGAGGGGTACTCTAAAATCCAGCTCGAGGCAGAGAGAAGCAGAAAGGGAGACTGACCTGTTGTCATTAGTACTGTCCTCTCTCACCACATCTCTGGGGTAAGCGATGTCATGGCTTTTTGAGGACAGAGAGCATTTATCTTGCATGAGATACTTGCTTTGTATGTTATGAACACATTAAAAGAAATAGTTGTTAGACATCCATCCCGAATCATGGATCGTGCAGTTTGCTCCCCAACTAAACTGAATGTGGTACCAGAGGCAGAAAGAACATGAGAGACAATAGCAAACCAGACACAGGATACGGAAATGCAAGGAGCAAATTAGCTGGTGTCTAAGAGCGTGTCTGTCATTCGCGGTCAGGACTGATGTGTAGGAGAGGTTGTCAAGCTTAATCAATGACACTAATCTATGAAGATGAAAGGGTGGATTGGGAAACAAAGGCAGTATGCCTACAACTCATGAGTAAAACATAGTGGTGATGAATTCGGAGGAAGAGGAGAGAGAAAGTACAAAAATTTATATCCAGGCATTCAACAGTGGCCCAGAAAGGACAACATTCTGATGAACCCAAGCTGGAGGTTCAGTTACTTGTGAGATTGATACCTGTGTATTATAGATGAGTGCCTTGACCATCCAAGCATGGAGTTCCCTGGACACGGAAAGAATTAGTGTGAAAAGCTATCCCTCTTATTCCTTCCATTGCTACTGATCAGCTCTCTGAAAATAACACAGAGTTCCTTATTGCTTCCCTAGCTTCCTCCCTGACTGTGTTGGAGTAGCTATATTTCTTCTTGAAATAACAGCAGGTGCATTCTGGTTTTTACAAGTGTACTCTCTTACCAACTCTAGATGCACTAAAGTAAATGAAAACTCAGGAAAAGACCCACAACTGTAATGGCTATTTCAAGTATGCCATGATGAGAGGTACATCTGACTTTACATTTGGTCTATAAAATATGTATGCATCATTTTCTTCATACCTCCTCACAAATACCTCTCTGGAGCTCACTCCTGATGCCATCGGCCTGTATCCCCCTCCTCCATCTCTTCAGAGCTGCCTCCTACCAATCTTCTAGACATTTGGGTTTGGCTCATAGTGTTTCTTTGAATCGATATTCTGCCACAGCTCTTCCAGAGTGTCTTTTGCCTATAGAGAAAAAGATGATGGTGGAGGCTCAAAGATTCAAATAAACATGGATAAAAAGGTAGGTCCTAGAGCCAGGCATGCCTGTGAACCAATGCTGGCAAGGCAGAAGCAAGAGGTATGCCATGAGTCGGAGCCTGCCCATGCCTACATAGTGGGTTTGAGGCCAGCCTGGGCTACAAGAGTGAGACCTTGTCTCAAGAACAAAACAAACAAACAAATAAACAACAAACAACAAAAATGTCTGAATCAAGTGATTTAAAAATTGGAATTCACAGGTGCAGCTAAAATGATCTGACAAGCTGTTGATGATTGTCTTTTGAGGGATATGACAGTTTTGGGATTGCTGAATTTTAGCTTGTTGGCTAAAAGAAAGTAGAGACACTCACTCTGTCCCAGGGGAAGGTGGAGGTGTACCAAGGTGTCCTAGTGTGTCACTAGGACCACAGCAGCTTCATCCTGCCATCTTGTCCCATCCATGATAATACCCAGAATCAACTAAAAGGCATGTGTCTGGGCAAATTTTCCGAACATGTTTCAAGAAAGAATTAACTGAGGAACAACCCCCCAGAGTGGACAGATGCTTCCAAATGGTAGCCTAGATATGGAGGTCTGAGAGACGGCAGAGCTGCCTGCTTCCACTTGAGGTTGCTAAGCATGTCTGCCCTATTGCTGCCCTCCTCTGCTGCCATGGACCCCAGCTTCCTCTGAAGACCAGCACTCTGCAGGAATCTCCAGGCTTTCAGCACCCGACAAGGGCTGTTGTGCTAGCCAGCTGCCTGAGCTAAGCAAAGACCGAATTCTCAGCCTCTCAGCAGGCAAATGACCTGAGGTGGGGTACTCAACCTCTATTGGGTGGCCTTATCTGGTGAATCCCAATCCATAGTGTGTATATATATGTATCTATATACATATATGTATGCATATATATGTATGCATTTTTGGTCCTATTTATGTATAGAACCCTGTCTAATACATGATCTGATGGATGCTCAATTTTTAAATTGAACAAGAACCCAAACCAGGCAGTGTGAGAACCTCCTCTTGCTATGTTTCACACTCCCCTCTCTAAGTCAGAACTCTCTTCTGGGACACAAGCGTGAAGGCTGGACTGTACCACAGCTCCAGCACCATCTCTGGTGGTACTCACACGATACTAGGATCTAGAGATCCAAACCTCATATTTTGCAAAGAGAAATAAAATCCTCAATGGCCCTTGCATACCAACAAAAGCACCTAAATAAAGCAAACTAAATATAATGATACTTATCCAAAGCTGGTATACTTCATGTGTCAGTTCAGAGCCACATGCCTAGTGTCATTCATGCAAACCAAAAAAGAAACTATATAAATAGGTTCTCAGTTTTTTATTTAGTATACTTTATTAAAATACCACTCAGGCTATGCCACATATCCAAAATCTTCATTTTTGGGATTCCAGCAATTTGAAATTCCACTCACTGCAGGATGATGATGGTCTTTCTGTTGATGCTATCTTCATCTATTTAAGAGGTGTTTAATCACATTCTGTCATTGATCCATTCCCCTAAAGATCTGTAACAGTCAGGATTGGGTTTGATTAAGACATATCATCTAAGTGACAAGGCAATCATTCACAGGCTAAATTTCTGAAGTGTCCCAAGGCTGGATGGCTCTGTTCTGCATCTTAGTCATGCATGTACCTCCATGCTCCTACTGCCAAGCCTCATTTTTTTCAAATCCAGATCCAAAAAGAACCGTTATCATTACTACAGCCTGCCTGAACCTTGGCAGGGTTTTATAGACCACCCCAGGCTCCCTGCTTTGGGCAGAGAGAGAAAAAAAAACATCCTCTGGACTTTGTCTTTTCATCCCTGCCCTTCTCTGTTGCTTTGAAGTTCTCTGTCCACAGCTGCTGGTTTGATCACATCACCCTTCTCAAAAATACAAGCAGTTTTGTGGAATATGGAATAGTTGAAAACAATAACCAGCTACCATTGTCACTTAAATATTCATCTGGATATTTTCAATTCAGTTTTCCCAGACACGTGCGTTTGTTTCTAAGGGCAGACTCCTGAGCAAGCTCATAGAATTTTCAGCCCATGTGTACCCAGATTGCCATTTCTAGGTCATAAAGTGAAACACTGAGGTACTGCTGCTGTGGAAGGAATTTGGAAGATATAATAAACTCCAATTCCACTGACCTGCTGATAGGGAGCTACCTGGGCAGGCCTAAACTGATAGTTTCCCTATGCCTTTCAAATGTGGGTCCAGAAGTCAGTGGGGTGGGAGTGGGGAGGAAGTCACATGGATATGAAGTGGAGGGAAAAGTCGGGATGGGGAATTTCAGGTGCCGGCTGCCTTTGGAGCTGGAGAGAACTTTCAGGGCAGGAATGCACCTAGTCATTAGAACCGAGTCTCCCCCAACTAACAGCTAGAAATTCAGTGTGGGTCTCAGTCCTATAAGGACAGGGAGCTGAATTCTACACCTAGGAACGGACTCTGAGCTTCAGATGAGAATGAGTCCTGTTGAATACCTTGACTTTAGCTTACAGAGTCACTGGTTAGATAACCAACCCTGTCATACTTGGGCTTCAAACCAGTGAAACTTGTCACTGGTTAAACAGATGATGCCGATGTGACAGTGAGTGAACCAACCAAACAAGTTTTGAATATTTCTTGTCGACCCATTCATCATGCACATTCTATAGTTTCTTTTATATTTTATTTTTTTAAAATATTGCCAAGAATTTGAGTCAGAATTAAATTCCATGTGCAGTGGAAAGCACTTACATGTAACTCTACACAGCAGACCTCACTCCACAGCATTTACACAGAGGGCCTTATAGCTTTTATAGTGATACCCAAACACTCTTTTTATTTCTTTATGCAGTATCATATCATGTATAATATGCATGTATATATGCATGTCTGCTCGTGTGGGGGAATATGTGTATGTGTGTGGCAATAAATGTGTGTGGAGTCCCAACGTTAATATCAGAAACCGTGGTCAATCAATTTGCTACCTTATTCAATAAGGCCAGGTCTCTCAATAAAAACAAAAGTTCCTTGATAGATATGACTAGTCTGCCTAGCCAGCTTGCTATGGGTGCTCCTATTTCTGCTTTCATAGGCTGGAATTATTAGACGGCCCCTAAGTCTATTCAACATGTAAGTGGGTTCTGAATATCTAAACATGAAACTCCACTCTTCTATGGTCAATGACTTAACTAACCACTAGGCCTCACCCTAGGCCAAGACTTCATTTTTAAATGAAGTAAAATCATGTCTCTATTATGATAACATAAAATATCACCCATTTTCCCTGATTATATGTATAGAAACTTTCCCTAGAATAAGCTATTATATTACCATATTCCATTCACATACGTGTATATAGAAAATATCAGATAATTTTTAAGCTACTTATTTTCTTTCCTAAAATATAACAAATACTGATTATAATTTTTGTTACATATACATTTTATTGTAGTCATATAAGAAAGGTATAAACAATAATTTAATTCAAGACACGATACAATTTATTATTGACACTGTTTAATTCAGTGAGAAATATTTTAGATATCAACAGAGGTGAGAGACTATGTAAGGAAAAAATGTTATTCAAAATTAAGACAATAAAGAGTTAGTACTACTAAGATGTAACTATTAGAAGTATAAAAGTAATGGAAAATATAAAGGTGGGAATCCAGAAAAATAAAAGTTTTAATTTTTTCCAGTTCATGGGAGAGATTTCTAGTTCCAGGGTCTCACTGGTACATTTCATGGTAAAAATGTAAGAAGAAAAATGTCACCGGAAACACACAGTGTCATTCTCTGATTAAAACTCTTTAAGAACATAAGGGGGAAAGCAGGCAACTTAGGGTGAGCTTTAGAGAGAAGAGAAAATGAGAGCAATGTGTGATAACCAGTCACAAAGCCTGGGACATTAAAATCAGATGAAGCCACATGTCATCACACAGAAGCTACATCTAAGTGACAGCAGAAATTCAGAGGGCCAGCTCCATCTAATCTACATCTAGTCCTTAGTAGAACTCTGTTCCCATTGAGATTGGTGTAAGACTAATAACTTAATGATGTAGATTCATTTAATCAAAATTAACTTAGGACTCCAATTATGTTTAATTACTTGTGGATTTGTTTAAGTATTTACCATCACCAAAGCTCAAACATCTTTACATTTTCACTGTTTTCATTACAGCTGTATTTATTTTGTGTGTGCCCGATTGCATTCATGTGTGCAATGCCGTAGTGTGTATGTGCCTCTTGGAGGACAACTTACAGCAGTCAGTTCTCTTCCTTCCATGTGCAAATTCCAGAGATCGAACTCATATCCTCCGGCTTGTTATCAAAAGCTCTTACTAAGGGATCCACATCACTGGCCCACGTACTTTTGCTTCTCCAAATCCCTGCTTTATATTTAAAGTTTTCTGATGACCATGGTGCTCATAATAACTCTGCTTTGAATATGCCCGGGAAACTGCAATAACTTATTTTAAGAGAAAATACGATAATCAGTGGGGGAAAAACAGTAAATTAACAAATGGTGTCCTTTTTTTTTTTTTTCTGAAAAGGACATTCTACTTCTTTGTGCTGAGGATAGCACAGTATCTTACTCCTAAGACATAGCATGCTGTACTGCCTAAAAAATAGATAAAGGAAGATATATCTTCTTGCTCGGGACCATAAAAACAGTATTTGCAATAGTTTTTAATTTTTTAAAAAGAGAAGTTCTGAAGAGGCTTTTGAAATTTATTACTGGCATATCCTTCTCAACCCAAGAGAGTAAATATTTTTATTTTTTTTATTTTCTAAGCATTAAGTTACTTGATCTTATTCTTGCTCAAGGCTACTCTTTGCCCAGGAAGATAAAGTGAAAAACTCATAATAGAAATTTATTATCATTACGGCTGTATTACAAACCTAGCTTTTAAAAAGAGACGGATGATTAATTCATTCATTTAGCAAATATTTCTTCCCACCACACCCTTTCTGGTGGACCCCGTTCAAATGACTGTGAGGACAGGAAGGCTAGTCTTCCGTGAAAGCTCTGAACAAGGGCTGTTTCTGCAATCGGGCTGCCCGACTGAACATCTTGAAAGGCTATGAGGTTGAAGTTCACCTTCACGTTGCTAAGCAGAGCCACATGTATTTGAGGTTACGTTTGATACACAGGACCTATCCTGCCAGCAGCTAGTTTTCTTAGATTCCACTTCTTCATTCTCTCCATGTTTCCCACTCCCACAGCTCAGATATTAGCTCATGTCACTATCATCCCTTGGCTACATGAGTGCAAAGGTCCCCTCATTTCCCTGTCTCCAGCCTTGCATGCAGCATGAGATTTTTGGAAGTGCAATTCCACGGTCTATTTCCTTCCCCTCCCCCATTGCTTTTGAAATAAAGTTTACAGCCTTAAACCAGCACGAGAAACTCCTGCTAACGTTTGTAACTTCCCATTACTCACACCATCACATTCTAAGCTTTAGCCATGCTGAGATGTTTTCTTTCTCCAAATACACCACATCCTTTCTCACCACAGGACCTGAGTAGAATTTTCCCCCTCACTTCCCACCGTTCCTGTCCCCACTCTTCAAGTCTAGAGTTTATTTTCACTTCTAGAAGGTTATTCTTCCATTGACGGACTGACCCACTATCCCAAAGTTAACTACCCTCCCTACATCTTGAGGCATTTCCTCAAAGAACATGACTGACCACCTGTCTTTACTACCCTCCAATAGACCTGGAGACACACTGTAATTCTGTCTGCAGCACTATGCATGATGCCCAGAGAAAGACACATGCTGAAGAGAATATTTAATAAGGCATGGAAGGAATGATTAAATAAATAAATGACAGGCCTCCGCCTACCAAAATGCAAATATCTGTATGCCTTCCTCAGAAAAGCTTATCTTTACGACTTCTTCTTGCCAGGTGGAGGACACCATGCCAGATGGCAATAACACTGGGGACACTGGAACAATCATAGTAAGTATGTTGTTTACAGAGATGCAAGTGGACTTTAAGGAAATCACTCGAAGACCATGTAGAACACGAGTAAAGAGTGGAGTTGGTACCATTGGACCTGGGACAGGAGGAAGGAATCCTGGGCCCCAGAGCTGTGAGCTAGCTGCTGACATGAGTTTAGAAGCATGTCTCATGCCCACCAGACAACTTTGAGAAGCAGGAAGAAATAGATAGATAGATAGATAGATAGATAGATAGATAGATAGATAGATAGATAGATAGATAGATAGATAGATAGATAGACAGACAAGGATTTCCTCTCTTCTCCCATTCTCTGACCTCCTGCTCCAAGGTCCCTCTCATGGGAAGCTAACCAAAATCCAGAAAGCCAGGACATCAGAGACAACTGTCTGAATAGGTCTGTGTTTCAATATGGCCACCTAGGAGAATGACCCTTGGAAAGGGAGGGACAGAGAAGTCTGCACAGTGCCAGCAGGTTCCAAGAATGAGAGAAAGCTATCTCAATTTTCTGCAGTGCCGGAGATGAGCATGGGGCCTCACACATCTTCCAGCTCAGAGAAACAGTTGGC